CAAAAGCTTTGTAACTTTTTGTTGACTCACTGCTTATGTGTTAAACAGATGCTGTGCTGCTGGAGAGCGGGATAAAGTAAAGCCATTGGTGAAGCCAGTTGATTTTCGTTTTGCCCTCTTTGGCTCACTTGGCTGAACTTCCAAATGATGGTCAGAGAGCTTTTCCTAACAGGGGATGAACTCGGGGGGGTAAGTCAAGGAAAGGACTTCCTAAGCTTCCCTGAGATTATAGGGTCAGGAAAACTGTACCTTGTTAAAGACAAAGCTCCCCCTGAAACTTCCCACACTCAGACTGTAAGAGTGGCTCCTGATCTACCACACAAGCAGGAAGACAACTGTGCTCTAGGGTTCACAGAGTTGATGTGTTGGTACAAAAGGCTCGAGGAAATCTTTCTGTGGGCAATTCTTGTAAATTGACATCTGTCCTTCTAGCATTGTTAACCATGTTGTTAACTCATTGTTTCGTTAAATCATCCTATTTCAACGTGTCATAGCAACATGCTCTACTACTACTACTGCTTTTACTAAAGTTATATTCACAGTTTGAATGGAATCATGGAAATACACTCATTTTAATCTGCTTAACACATTTGTTCTCACAACGAGAGCAAGGTGATACGCTTCAAATGGAGCTGATAGAGCTAGTAAAAAAATGCAGCAAGCTTTCTGTGGAAAGACTTGATGAAAATTTGCCCAGCCCTTCTCTGATTTGGACTTCTAGTCTTTCAGATAAAAGATCTCTGTGATAAAACCGTTGATAAGGAGGAGGGCAAGGGAGCTTTTGGCAGAGGAATTGCTACCTGAGTTTTCCCTTAGCTCAAATAAGTTTTCTTTCATCAACAGAGGATAAAGGAGTTGTACAGGCTTCTTGTAACTACAAGAAACTTCCAAGAATAGAAAAGTGTAGGTCTCTCCCTAAGGGCGAATTTGTTGAATTGCAGCCTAGACATCCAAGAGAAGCCATGGAAGCCGCACCACTTGAGAAGCTAGTACAAAGAGTCATCCTGTGCTGGGAAAAGAAATGGGTAAGGTAACCTAGTAGTTCAATCCAGTATCTTATTTCTAAGTTTCTGTGACTCCTTATATCCTGTAGGACAAATGAAATGCTGTGAATGCTGTGCCAAAAGGGCAGGGGTCCTGCTGTAGGAGAGGAAAGGCACCCTCTAAATAACAAAAGCATAGCTTGGTCCAAAATAGGATTGAGTTAAGCCTTGCATTAATGAATTTCGGGAGGTTGTAAGCCACATGAGCCAATAAATGAAAAATGACTGAGAAGTGATTATTGTTTCGGAAAACAGTGAATAATCAAGGAGAACAATTTAACAGTTGTTACATGAACTCCATACATCTCAGGAGAGAGTCCACAGACCATGGCTGTATGCTAGACGTTAAAAAAAGAAAGTAAGGTTTTCCCTGTGCAATTCATACAGAACAATTGTTAACAGTTGCAAAGAAAATGAAAGACACACAAGCACTGAGACCAAGAACAAATGACATTTCCACAACACAATCTTACTTCTCAAAACATCCAGGTTTTAGATGATCCTGGGATTTTCATTTAGGTACATCATTAGCTGCTGTGATAAATAACTGTTGTCTCATTGCTAGTAGGTAGGAAATATTTTATGGAAAAGATGTCTTACAACACTCCACTTAAAATACTTACTTTCCAACCTAGCATTTACAGTGCTGAAACTGGAAAAGAGATTGGTAACATGGGGCTTGCCTATTACTCTACATGTTGCTGATGTAGGTTGTTTCTTTTTCTTGGGATCCAGAAACATATCATTGCTGTCACTATTACCCTGTAAGGTTTCCCCATCTACCTTCTCTCAGTACACCTACACATCCTCACCCTAGCACACATCAGACTCTGCACAAAGGGACCATCGCATCCCACCACTGCCCTTGCAGACTTGTACACTTTTCCTACAAGCTAATGCTAGCTTTAGATTCCTTGTTTGGATGTTTTATGTACTAATCTACAAACTGATCTGGCCAGGGAATTTTGTCCTCTTCTAACTGCAGGTGTTTCTAAGGCATCATTGTGCACATATAAATGGTAATCTCTATACACATTAGTATAGAGAGCACTTGATGGCTTTTCTGACTAAAGTAGCCTAAAGTAAATTGGATTACATTGTCTGGAAAAGGTGATAATTCCAAAAGGATTGCATGACACCAACAAAATTCCCTCCTCCACTAGCTGTATTTTATTTTTCAAGTGTTGCCACACCAGCTTGGTAAGGAAAAAAAAGGCACTGGAGCTTTCAGCACTGTAAATGGTAAGTTGGAAAGCAAGGATGTTTAGCAAACAGCTTTCCCATACAATCTCCTAGTGTGGTCAGCTTATGTATATATTTACTTTAGAGCGCACTGCATGTGCGTTAAGTTCATGAATACCAGGATGCCTGCTGGTAGGGATGGAGAGGGTAAAAAAGTGGTAGCAGAGACAGGCGATGGCACAGATGTTCCCAGCTCAGTACCACACTTTGTGCCACCAGCCAGTACTCACACTTCAGCCAGCGGGCTCCAGCATGCGTGTCCTTGTCCCGGATCAGCCTCCTCTGCGTACAGCTCCTGCAGAGGTACCACAGCATCCACAGGAGCTGGATGAGCATCAGCGTGATGAGGTAGGAGAGCAGGTGGCTCTTGCTGATGCCCACAGCATGCACAGCCCAAGCAAATGTGAGCAGCAGCCCGGCCAGGAACAGGTTGATGCCGTACTGGCTACTGAGGATCTCGGCGTTTTTCTGCGGGTAGCTGCCGCCAAGGGAGGGGGAACCGACGACTTTCTCCATCGCCCCGCCGCCCTCCAGGTGCTGCAGGCAGGCGGTCCCGCTTCCCCGGGGGAGCTCCGAGGCTGGGGGCTGGCCCGTCCTCCACCGGCGGCTGGGGGCGGAGCGGGGCCGCCGGCCTTCACCGTGCCGCCGGGCGTCGGCTGAGGGGGTACCTGCTGCTGGGGAGCCTGGACTACCCATGGAGAAAGCAGGCTGCCGGGGGGTAAAGGCTGCAGAGGCTTTGCGGGGCACGGGGGTCTTAGCGTATACTGAGCCAGGAACTAGGGCAGAGATGAGAGTAAGGGAGGCTAGCCGGGCGGTGCCACGGCCCTGCAGAGGGGCAGGGAGTCCCGGCAGGGCTGGCTGCAGTGAGGGACACGGAGCTGACGTCCGTGTTGATAGAGACATCTATCTAACAACATGCGGCAGAACATGTTCCCTAGACAGGGAGGCGGGAAAGATAGCGAGCTGTAGACAAAACAGCCCCGACGGTTAATGGCTGGCTGGAAAGCTGAGGAACTGCCAACGTGTGGGAAACTTTCGGAGAAGGAGAATGGGCGATGGATGGAGCCTGCCTCGCAGCCGGGGAGCCTACAGCCGGGGATGCACACAGGCGGCAGTGGAATCACCCAACACACGTTCATGCTCTGGGCCCCACAGTCCACCTTCTTTTTGGCAATTGGCACTTGCATTGACAGGAAATAACCTTGATGTTCAGGAATTTCCTGGACCTTTCCAAGGCAGAAATTTACCTTAATCTTTTTTTAGTGAGTCCCATTCTGACAAGAGTATTAACAGCAATTGCTAGCTGGAGTAGCATCTACTCTGCTCGACGTAGCAACAACTTCAGCAATGACTGCAGGATTTAGCCTACTGTTTATTTATGCAGTCGTTTTCCCAATTTTTATGCCCATTTTAAATATTGACCGTTTTTAACTTCAACTGCTAGGTTGTAACTGTGACCCATAGACTTGGAGCACCAGTTGGTTGGCTATAGGGGTTGAGACGAACTTAGCACAGTGTAAACCTCTAAATATTTAAAATAGCATTTTGTTTGCATACAATATGAATTCCCTTAATTCTAGGCATTCAGGTACCTAGCCATAGCTTGGAGGCCAATACCAAGACAGACTAGTCCTTGTTCTGGCCAGGCAGGTCTTACATTTTTTATCCCACATCTGATGGTAGCATATCAAATGTCCAAAGCGCTGTTTTTTACAATGAGTGACCTACGTCTCACATGAAATTAAGCCATTGATTCAGCTCCATCAAAATAAATGCAATAAAAGACATCATCTATTTCACTCCCCTTCCTTTCCACTGGCAAAACTTACAACAGCTTTTAAGGCTTTTTGTCTTCTGAAACCAAAAATTATTAAATGCTGTTTTCCTGAAATAATAAAGGACATTTCTGGACTTATGTTCCTGATGTTCACATTCCTCCTAAAGAACAGGGAAGAAATACAAAATAGCGAAAGGGTGGAATGAATGAATTCTAGACAGTTACCCACGTAGGTAAGCATAAGGAAGTAGTAGCTCATGTCCTTTATTCATTCTGCCCTGTTCTCAAGAAACAGGTATTTTAAGCCGTTTTCGTTTTGTAAAATGCACTTAACTGAAAGTCAGCTTTGTTTCAGTCAGGCCCATAACAGCAGTATAAATAGAAAGTGTAACTAGCCAAACAGTTAAGGCTTCAACCACCTCTAGCTCAGAGCTGCACCCATCATTATTCAAAGCTTATGGAAGTGCTAACTTCTCCTTTTACCTTATGTAATGTAACCTTTAAAGAATAACAAAGATGCTTTCATATTACAAAGCTGCAGGATAACTGTGATAAATTATTTTCAGCGTGTGGACTATTTACTTCAAGATTATTCTAGAGCACTCCTTGTCACCTGGGAAAAGCTCTTTGGTGCCAATACATATTCTCAACCTCAAATGAAATCAATGTAAATTGATAGAGAAAACACCTATGGTGGTCTGCAGCCAGGTAATACATTCAAGCTTAGGGAGAGATAGGGATTTTGATAGCCTAATAACTGTTTTCAGCACACTACTAAGAAACCTCTTTCTGGTAAGGAAAGTAACAAAAGCAAGGAGTTCATACAACTGTTAGTGGCAAAAGCATTTTGTCAGGTCACCTATTACAGCAAACACTGCAGTGCAGTCCCCAAGAACAGTGGAATTAGTTAAAACAATTAAGTCATGAACAATAATTGATCACTTTTATACAAAGTTTATTATGTCCAGAAGAACAAACGTGAAAAACCATGTAGTAAACAGTAATTTTAATTCAAGAGTACAAGGCAATTTAAACCAGCTAGAGCATTTATATAGCTGACAAAAATACAGTGATAATTACCATCCCTGAGCAGCACTGCTTTTTAAATACCATAATAAACAAGTTACTCAAATGTACCTGTGTATGCACATGTAAAATAGTTAAAGATTGTTAAAAGATGAAGATAAACAACTCGCTTTTTAAAGATGAAGTACAACTGGGTTTGGAAAACTTAAACATTACATTTTAAAAAAATCAAGCTGTTAACTTACTCTATGAGCTACTTAACAGTAGTGCTAAATATATTTTAGTTTGGTTTGACTGGTCTTTTGTATTGAATACCAATAGCAACATTTTTCCATACTGAAACAGCAGCAGCTAAAGACAATGTCTATCATTTTCATTACTAAATATTTCATGTACTTTGTACTCAGCAATGGTATGAAATTGAAAGTCAGAATGAAAAACACAGTCTCCTCTAACAGTCCAGTGTTCAAGCACCAGTCACAAGGAGTAAATTTTAGCAAGTTTCAATATCCAGCTTCTACAATCTCCTATCTTCCAAAAGGTGTAGGTGTGAAAGTATTTAACACAAGGATCTATATAAAATGGTCAAGCAATTAGATGGTGCCCAGGTTTCCAGATGATTAAGCACCTCAGCCAAGATGAACAGACAATGTTGTTTTATTTGCCCAATTGTGCATGACTATTTGCATTTAAATTAATATCAGCCTCTTTATTGCTGCAAGTAGAAAGAATCTAGTATTAAGATCCCACAAGATTTGAATTTACAAATGAAACAACCTGCTTTGAGCAGGAAGTTGGACTAGGTGATCTCTGGAGTCCCCAGAGATGAGCTTTATAGGCCCCTTCTAACCCAAACTGTTCTATGGCTTACTACCCAGCTGTTTAAAAATGAAATATAAATAGAAGCTTTACTAAACAGTGAGGAAATGCTTTATGTCTCTAAGAGAGGTAAAACCTATGTATCCTTCAATTATTTACTAATCAGTTGCTTTCTCCCAGCCACTGGCAGACCCATGGTTATATCCATTTAATTTATAAATCAGGCAGTATAATAATTACAGTATCAGAGCAAACAAGCAGTATTAGAAACAATAAAAGCATTGGAGTGTTACAAAAGTGACATTCACTTGGCAGGGTAACAGTTGCTTGAGTCCTTCACATGAAGCTGAAAGAAAAAACAAATCCAACTTTAACAAAAATACTGTAATGCTGTATATACTGCACAAGTTTGTCCTCATTTGATATTATTAGTTAATGACTTTGAATCACCAAGTAATAATTTGGTCCTTATTATTAGCCCAATAATTATTTGGCCTAATACAGAATCAACAAATTCTGTATAACACAATTGACTTGGCTGTTCATATAGAAAAACAGAATGTTTTCATAAGATTCATCTGTTCAGGATATCTGTAACTCACTTGTATTTCTTACTTTCTACATACAAACTAATACAGAATGGTCATTCCAGTTTGTTAATACAACCAGCTCTAACACACTGAAATGTGTCTTTCCCCCACATCCTTCCAGTGCTCAAACAGAACATAGCTAATGACAGAACAAACAAACATGATTTGAAGAAGTTTGCATCAGCAAGTGCGACTGAAGCTCCCATAATGCAGTAAAGAGGCTCTGAATCAAATACTGTGTTTTTCAGAAGTCTATAGGTGTTGTCAGAGTATGACTTAAGTAATTACCTCCTTAAAAAATCAGGCTTCCTGAGAACAGGAAAAACTGCAACCCTAGTTTCAATTTGTTCATGCAAACAAAATCTGTTTCATTGTTCCAGCCATTAAATATTTTTTGCCTATAACTCTGACACACTCAAAATCCAGCACTGTCTCATTCTTCTTGATGCGCTCATAAAAATGCTCAGGGACTTCCTCACTGAAAGGATTTATGATGGCAAGCAAAACTAAAGAGGCTTCTCCACATTCCCTTGAGAAGTATGGCAAGGAAAACCTGCCGAAAGGAGTCACTTCAATGAATGATGTAGACACCTGTGGTACAGTGGACATCCCCTATCCTATATACTGAGCCATCTTTGATGTCTTCCTTAAGCTTTTTCAGTTTCATTTGAATAGTATATTCCAACAAAAGATGCGAGAACCTGCTTTCAACATAGGAGTTTTTCAAGTCAACAAAATACCCAAATTTGCCTTTGAAAGGTTGTGGGGTTGTTTTGCTTTGTTTTTGAATGAACAAAGAACTTGTGACACCTGGCAGTTTTCCAGGTAGCAGGTTGATCTGGACTGCTCATCACAGAAAATGAGAATTGTGTACTTAAAGATAAGACAAGGGCAGTTGCATGCTGACATTAATAGCTTCTCCCTTTACGATCAGGACAAGCAACTCTGCTAAGAGTTTTTCCCAGTCTGGGAAAAGCTGCAGGCATTTGGGCTATATGCCTCCAAACCATCCATTCTCACTAATCACATCTTTTCATTGTCTAGAATGGAATCTTACGAGAAGAAAACAAAAATAATAATAATAAAAAAAAGTATAGTCTTCCCCTTAGGATACTTGCATGTTCTCCAGATACTCTATATGCCACAAAATGTCAACATTCTAGAAGTATACACAAAACAGGGAAGGAATTCTTACAATCCTTAAATGTCTAATAAAGCAGTTCATGTGGAAAGATACATATTTTTATGTGCTTAGACAATTAAATTATTTACCTGAAGGATTTATCCCAGGAGTGACACAAGCATCACAACACCCATAAACTGAATGAAGAGCAACAAAGGTGTCATAAACGACCAGACAGGCCACAAGGCAACATTGAAACTGCAGATAAAAGCAGGAACATCTTGGTAAGTTCAACAGCCGTATTATGGAAATACCAGTAATACACAGAAAAGATGGCACCTGGAAAAATACTTGTTTCTTTATGAAAACAAAACAAAAAGGCCCCAGCATCTACTTATTACATTGATAGTTTATTTTCCTGCTTATTTACTGACAGCTCATCCTAAAACTTCAGTAGCTGCCAGAGATTTTACACTGAGCAAATCCAATCAGTCCCACCAAGGGTAAAAGTTATCTTCTGCTTTCAGAATATGTGTATGGCCTGTATTAGCAATAGTGTGGCCAACAGGACTAGGGAAGCAATAATCCCCCTGAACTCAGAACTGCTGAGGCCACACCTCAAATACTGTGTTCAGTTCTGGGCCCCTCACTACAAGACAGACATTGAGGTGCCTGAGTGGGTCCAGAGAAGGGCAACAAAGCTGGTGAAAGGTCTGGAGCACAAGTGTGATGAGAAGCAGCTGGGGGAACTGGGGTTGTTTAGGCTGGAGAAGGGAAAGTTTGGGGGACCTTAATGCTCTCTACCTGAAACGAGGATGGAGCAAGGTGGTAGCTGGTCTCCCTCCCAAGTAACAAGTGATACAACAAGAGGAAATGGCCTTAAGCTGCAGCACAGGAGGATTAGGTTGGGTATAAGGAAAAATTCTTTCAGTGGAAGGGTAGACAGGCATTAGAACAGGCGGTGACATGGTTTAGTGATGGACTTGGCAGTCCTGTGGTAACAGCTGGGATTTGATCTTGACTGTCTTTTCCAACCTAGTTGATAATATGATTCTATATGAAGCACCTGAAAATGAACTACTCTTGTTCTCCCATGGGCACACATGGCAGCTGAGAAAAGCCTTAATTTTTACTTCCAGACAATCAGATTTAACTGAAGAGAAAGGAGGAAAACCAACTTATTTTACAACTGAATTAAAAAGATTATAGATTTGACTAGTGCTAAATTATAGGGAAGCTTTGTCTTCTTCAGGCTTCCTTTTTTCCCAGCACTGAAATAAATACTGAGTGAACTGATTCAGATACCTCTAAACTAGAGAACAACCTTTTATGCAAAGAGCAAACAAATATACTGGCACATATGTATGTAATTTTTTTCATTCATGTGCACATTTGCTCAATTCTGATTCCAATAATCTCATAAAGTAGCTCTTACCAAAAGCACCATTCTCTGACAAGATAAAAACCTTAAAGCTCATATAACAATAGCCAGAAGTATAAATTTCAGTATACATTTGCTATTTATGGATTGTTTCATAATGAAAACCTTTGTATTAGAAACTGAGCAGGTGTAATTTTTTCTCAGCTAAAAAATACTCCTTTGTCTTAAATGGGTCAGGGCAATCCCAGGCACAGCTACAGGATGGGCAGAGAAGAGATTAGGAGCAGCCCTGCAGAGAAGGACTTGGGGTGTTGGTTGATGAGAAACTTAACATGAGCCAGCTTCAGTGTCCGCTCACAGCCCAGGGCTGCATCAAAAGGAGCGTGACCAGCAGGTCAGAGGAAGTGATCCTGCCCCTCTACTCTGCTCTTGTGAGACCTCACTTCCAGTGTCTGAAGGGGGACTATAAGGATGCTGGGGATGGACCCTCCATTAGGGACTGCAGTGACAGGACAAGGGGTAACGGGTTAAAACTTAAACAGGGCAAGTTTAGATTGGATAGAAGGAGGAAATTCTTCACTGTAAGGGTGGTGAGGCACTGAAATGGGTTGCCCAAGGAAGTTGTGAATGCTCCACTCCTGGTGGTGCTCAAGGCCAGGTTGGACAGAGCCTTGGGTAACATGGTTTAGTGTGAGGTGTGCCTGCCCATGGAAGGGGGGACGGAACTAGATGATATTAAGGTCCTTTCCAACCCTAACTATTCTATGATCCTATAAAAAGCAAACCTTACAAACAGCTGTCAGAGGTGAGCAATTTACACTAACAGAGCTAAGAACTTCAGTTTTCCCCTAAATTTTCAAGGCAGAAAATAACCAGTACATCTACAAGTACACTTCATATACAGTTTCAACAGCTGCAAGTTTCACTCTGTGGATGAATGTTAAAAGTGGAATAAATTATGCTACCTAGAACTGGTAGTGTCACCAACGCACTTAGTAGAATTACAGCAATTACACTTGTTATAAAATGATCCCATTAACACAGTTAGACTTGCTCAGGTTTAGCAGAAGTTTGCACAGTGTTTGAACTTACCAAATTGCTGCTGCAATAAAGGTAGCTGTTGTGATAGGTATCAGTGCCGGATACTGTGTATCGTAGTCCTCAATACCACAATACCACTCAAGATACAGTATGCAGTAAAAGGCAACAGATAAACATGCAGCCAACAAACAACTGCCAGAGGCAAGCCACCAGCTGTGGGGAGGGAAGCATGGTAAAACATGTTAAGCACAAGCACACTGCAGTTTGCACATTAATCTTTATTCTAGTCCAGCAACAGAACTGGCAATTATACAGGTTGGCCTAGAGTTCCTGTAGGTTTTTTCTTAAATTACTTTTACAAAATACTTTTTGGCCTTCTAAAGCTGTGTAATACACATCACTGAGTTTAATTTTCCAATGCAATGCTCCTGTCAATTATTATTCCCTCAAGTATTTTGGAAATACAATGAAACAGAACCTGTCAGTGATATAATACACTACCACACCAAAAATTCTTTGTCAGTAATTAAACAAAATAGGCTCCACTGCAACTGTGCTTCTCACTATAAATCAGGCTACTGATTTTGCAAGAGAAACTTTGCAGAAAGCTTTAATAAGGTTTCAAGTTTATGAACATTCAAATTTAGCAGGCAAGAAGCATGAAGTTTCTTCTTCAAAAAGATGAAAGGTGGAGATGCTGTGACCTCCCTGGCCAACCTGTACCAGTGCTCAGTTACAGTGAAAAAGTGTTTCCTGATGTTCACAGGGAACCTCCCATGTTTCAGCTTGTGCCTATTGCCCTTGGTCCTGTCACTGGGCACCACTGAAAAAAGCCTGGCTGTCTTCTATGTATCCTCCCATACTTATATGCATGCTAAAATCCCCCTGAGCTTTCTCTTTTCCAGCTCTCTCTGTTTCTACTGTACCTTTTTTTTAATCCAAGATTTAAAACACAGTGTTCAGACTTAACAAACTGAGTAGGGCTGTAAGATTAAAACACAAATTTCTTTGTAAGAAAGAGCGCCTTACCTATCTGCTTGAATAGTTTCTTTAACAGTTTTGAAAAAATCAAAGTAGTATGTCACAGCAATTGATGCCAAAATCCAGAATGCAGAATGAATATTCAGTCTGGCAAGAGGCTGCTTCTTCTTCTCTACAGCTGTAGACTCTTCTGTAAATAAGAGCATAATTACACACTAAGGCCAGTCATAAAATGGAGGAGGATTATAGTTACGTAAAATACGATGCTTTCTCCTTTCAATTCATTTATCTTTGGAGATCTTTATACTTGGTATAATATGCTTTGCATTACAGAGGAAGTATTTTAAAAAGCTCTGAACATTTCCAGAAATCAGACTAAGCAAGGTACCCTTAGGTGAAATATAAAGCATTAACAACCAGTGCATTCTGTGTCTGTTGTATCCATTTAGGAAATTAACAGCTGACTAGATTCTGCAAGGGTTATTTAGCTGATTAAAAACCTTATGGTGTTACTAAAGCATTTTTATTGATCTAGCATTCAGACAGGTTAGTATTTCCACTTACTACTTATTTCTATCATTTTTTTGTTAATTTTCCTATTTGCAAAAAAAATTTCAGGCACAAAGCATTTCCTTGTGCAGCTCCTTTACGAGAGATGCTCAACTTCATTTCAGCAGCTAGGTTGATTCATGCTGCATACCTTCAGCAGGTAAACTACAACTATCATTATGCAGAAAAATATCTTTTTTCCCCTCACTGGGGAAGAAGACAACAGAGCGAGCAGATCAGAAAGCGTACTTTTGTGCATGACAGTAATCAACTAACACAGTCAATATTTATATGCAGGGTCAAAAACGGTGCCTTTGATGTTTCCTACTTTGAACATTATCATTAGAAGTTACTGGCGGCGCAGCCTGTATGCCCCCAGCAGTGGAATGGATGCTGACTCCTTCACATGCACCATCACCAGCCGACCGCACTAACAGCTCTGCTGGAGTTTACAGGAGGGTTTATGTTTTATTTCCTAGATGCGTGCTCATCTCCTGCAGCTCAGGTCTGGAGCATTTAACCACTTCACCCCATCAGGAAAACCGCGGCTGCATGCCCCGACATGACTCACGTCTCGCTTGTCACATCGTACTCACTGTCACGGCCTGGCACACAGAGACAGCCGAGCTGGCCGCACCAAGCAGCACCCCTCCGCCGGGGCAGCGCGCCCCGCTACTGAGGAGCCCCCTTGCTCCTGCCGAGAGCGGGGCCGGCCCCTACCCGCCCTCCCCGCCCGGGCAGTGCTGCCACACGGCCCGCCCAGCAGAGCCTGGCTCCGCTCCACTCCGCGCCCCCAACACCACGCACCGGCTGTCCCTGCGCCCCCGAAAGGCGGCTGCGGCAGCAGCGGGTCGCGGGGCTCTGCCCCTGGCCGTAAAGGGCGCCGGAGCCTAGGGAGCGGTCCCCCGTCGCTGGCGCCGGCTTCCATCTTGGGCCGCTCCGGCAGTGACGCGGCGGGGCGGGGAGCGCGGCGGCCGTTGGCGTGAGGGGCGGTGACCCGGTGTGCAGGGGCAGGGGGCGGGCAGGCGGAAGGGCAGTGGTGTACGGGTAGAGCTTGTAGGCTCGCAGAGCCCCTGCTTGGCTGGTACCAGAGCGCCGGGCGCTGCTGGAGCGCGGCTGTGGCAGGTGATGCTCCGGGAAAAGGCCCAGTAGTGTGATACACATCAACATCATCATAAACCGCACTAACCCCCACTGAAAATAGTGAGCGGCGGGATGTAGGTACGAGTGCTGGAGTGAGGGCTGTTGTCAAAATAAGAAAAAGAGAGGAAAACTGGGTGTACATGTAAGAAAGTTGCAGAGGGACTTTTTATAAGGGTGGGTAGAGATAGGACAAGGGGGAATGACTTTAAACTGGAAGAGGGGAGATTTGAATTAGGTGCCAGGAAGCCTTTCTTCACTGTGAGAGAGGTGAGACACTGGCACAGGTTGCCCAGAGAAGCTGTGGATGCCCCATCCCTGGCATCCACAGGGATACCCCATCCCTGTGTTCATGGCCGGGTTGGACGGGGTCTTAAGCAACCTAATGTGGTGGAAGGTGTCTGTGGCCATGGCAGGGGGAACTGAGTGTGCATACTTTGCATGCTGTTCATCATTTATCAACATAAAAGCCTTGCAGATACTTTGCTGTAGTTTCTCGTTGAGAAAACAGGAAAAGAAGAATGGAATGTAGGCTTGGGATAAATAATTACGTATTTTATCAATAAACCTTAAAAAATGTCAGGCCATCCTCTAGGCACATACTAACTGGTAGAAACCAATTAGGGTACAAGCTAGACTTCTCTGACCTGCACCAGTTTTAACCAGTTTTAAACCTGTTGTGTACCTAATAACCTTATCAAATGCTCTTTGAAATGGGTGAGAAAAAAAATAAAGTGTTACTAAAATAACAGATATTCCGCATATATAAACTAGTTTTTACAGTGTTACAGCGGGTTTAACTCAGTAGACTTACATCAGTTTAACTAGTGCAATGATGAACCCTAAAAGTACAGAAGACTAAGCTTTTTCAATGTATTTAGTTATCATAATTTTATTTTATGTTTGGTTTGAACTGTAGGTACAACTGCATTCTACAGTTACTGTAGAAACAGCACTGGCTCTTAATTTGTCATGTAACCTGATCTGTAGATACCCTGTGTTGTATAATCCAATTGGAGATACCATCTTTTTAGCAAAGGGGATGCTCACAGTAATTTATCAGGCAAAAATCACTATATTTTCCTAAATACCCTATTGTCTGTTTTATAGATGAGTGAGGTTCTAGGGACAAGGGAAATGAGGGTTCTGGTTGTTCTTTATTACTTTGCATGGAGTTTTTTGTAAATTCAGCCAAAAAGATACAAGAATGGAACAGTATTTATTTTCCTCTGCAGAAAGCCAGGCCTTCATTTACATCTGAATTTCATGGGAGCCATGTTGTAGTGGGCAGAAATTGTTTTCCCAGCCTTAGAACCCATTTTATATAAGGGCCAACCACATCATAGTCCTTAGTGACTATAGTGATTATTTTTTATGTAGTTCAGTTGAATATTTTGAAGTTAACAGCTCGTGAGAGCCTCTGAGCTCTGCTTTCTTAGCAATGAAATAGAGGTTTCTTTGTTTTATTTCCTTTGAGTGGAATGATTACCTCGGCTTTCACTTTCATGCTAGTGATTCAAAGAAGAAACAAAGGAAATCTTTATGTACTTTCTTTGCAAAAGCTATTCATAGGAAATATCTTTGATTTAAACATAGCAATTAAATAAAAATGTATGCTTCAAAAGGTTAAGATCGGTTAGTGTTGTTAAACTGAAGACTGCTGTTTACCTACAGAGTAGGTATTGTGCAAAGAGCTGAAATAAGAGCTTCCCTTCTCTGGCTCAGTGTTGACCTTAACCGAACCACTTATGTTCAGTGTTTGTAGAGCTGAGATGTTCTCTGTGATCTTTTCACAGAGCTTCTCTGATTCAGAAATTATTAATCTGTTAAAGACTAGATAGCAATCAGGAGCTGAGCTGAGCCTGTTACAACATGAACAACCTAATTAACAAAGCAGCTAAACAATGGGCCTGCTGGATAAGTAATTCTTGCAGGTTAAAGAATCCCTGCAGAAATGTTAGGATGTTTTTTAAAATGTTGTGCTTGATCTGATAAATTTAGTTATCCATCTGTGAAAGAAATGTGTGAATTTGAAGATTCTGTGAAGGACATGTACAAAAGGTAGAGTTTGCAGCAAGTTTTTGTGTTAACTGAATTCCTGGTCTCTCATATAACGTGAATTCTTCCTGCATTTTCAGAAACAGACTTCCAACACCTTTGTGTTCTTTTCTTTTGAATAGAAAAGAATGCTTTGTAAGTTATTTGAATGTTTTTAAATATTCAGGTTTTGCAGTTATAAGTGAGGCCTGACTTTTGCAATCTGGTTGGACATTTTGAACTTAATTTCCTTGTTGCTTGACAAGTATTTGCTATTTACTGATTAGTTGGTTTTATGTTGATTTATAGGTAACAACACAAGTGGTAGCTTTTTATGTTCCTTGATTGGGTACATATAAATTTTGTAATTAGACTTCCCAGTTAAATTCTCACTTTTAGAAAGTCAAATTAGTTTTCTACTATTCTAGCAAATATTCATAACTTTTTCTCTGTTAACAGAAGTCAGTAGCTGAATTGCCCCGGATGTTACCAGTTCACAAAAGACCTGATGAGGATTGTCTTCATTTCTTATCTTAGTGCTGGCTTCTCTCTCCCTGTGTTAATTTTTAGCTGAAGTATGTTGGATACAGTGTAGGCATATGATTGTGCAAAATACTCTGTGCTTTCTATTCATGAGCTAAATAATACTAATAATAATACTGTGCTGCTTATCTTCTGCTATCAGGAGTAAAAGGAATAGATGGGTATCGATTCTCAGTGCTTTCTGAACATTATTCTTGGAGTAAAGCATTGCATATCCTCTCTTACACTTGAGTGAAAATGTAAATACATTGTCTTAACTCATCTAGGTAAGAAAAAAGCCTTCAAATAGCACTACAGTTCTCTTGCTTTCATCTAGGATCCTTTTAATTTTTTTTAAATACCATACAATGGAAAAAAAATCAGAAAACGACTTAAAAGCACTTGGTGTGAAAAACTTCATGCAGATCTGAAAAACAATTGAAAGTTAAAACTCAATCGACACTGAATGTGGTACATACACAAACTATTGAACTCAAGTTGAATTCTCATGTGAGTATTAAATTACAGTGAAGCCCTGAATTGGCCCTTTAGGAAGGAAACAATACATATAATAGTGTGTTTGAGACCAGGAATGCACTACATACAAGCATGCAAGCATTTGAACTTCATGAAGGAAAAGAAAACAGAAGAGATTAAAGCAGTTGAAAAGGCAAAGAGGGCACCTAAGAAAACAGATGAAGAATGCACCACATAATGTATAACGTCATCTGATTCATCTAGGTATGTTATTGTTCATCTTGAAACTTGTCTGCAAAATACAAAAAAGCAGTTGGTCCAGAACATTACTTTAATCTGAAGTATTGATTTGATGGAAGATCATTTCGACACTCTCAGTTGTCCTGATTAAAAAGGTTAGATAGCTTCAAGGTTTTGCCCTTGCCTTTTGCTGTAATTGGCATTAAGAATATGACATAAGACTGTTCATTCCAGCTTGGATCTTCAAACATGTAAACAAAAACCATGAAATAAATCTGGATAAACCATTCTCCTAGAAGTTGCTGTGTGAATCTTTCTACTCTCTCTCCTAAATAATTTCTTGAGGTTAGTTTCACTTAACTATGCCAACTTTCTTAGGGAGTACAATGGCTCTCAAAATGTTTTCCTAAGACTACAGTTTAATGATACAAAGCATTTGGCAGCAATACTCCACCTATGATTGTTCTTGACTACTCAATCCCCAGTAGTGGTATCTAATACCTCTGTTTGAGGATTTGATCTGGTTTTAAAAGCCTGCAAAAATGCAGGGGATGGCAGAGAGGCAAAAACAAATGGCCAGATGTGGGAGGGTGGGAAAGGAAACACTTGGGAATTACTGAAACTGATTTCCTCACTGAAGAAAAAGTTTGTGCAGTCATGCATCTGTAGTAATAGAAGAATTTCGTACTTGGGGGCATTTGTGAACATCCTACAGTTTTGGAGTGTGGGGTTTTCTTAATAATGAAGATCACGGATCCAATTCACACTATCAGGAAAGACCGTCAGTTGTGGGAATGGGCATTTAAGTTTATTGTTCATCGAACATCTGCTCTATAGGAATATTGCTCTCCTTAGGCATGACACTTTATTTCTGTATTCATAGAGGTCAGCATTTTTTTTTCTGGCTGTGATGAGATGTTAATGATTGCTTTGGAGATGGTCATGTGTCCCCACTGCCTGTGGTTTGACTGCTGTAGTGAAGTAGGCACAAAGTTTCTTTGGAGGGGACATGGACCTCACTGTTAACAAGATTGGAAAGTACAGATAATTTTCATAATGTGTTCAGCATGGCAACACCGCACTGATGCACACAGTGTGGAATTCACCTCATGCTGTTTGCCTGGAGAATTTTTCTTGGAGTCACTTAATTCAGGTGTTTAAAAGCAGGTTTTATAAGTATTTATAAGCAGGTTTTCCTTACCGTTGTCCTTACAGTCCATTACTACTTATGTAGCATATAGGGTAAATTTTTTGTGTATTTTGATCTGGTATTGTAATTGAACAACAGAGTTAGAGGGAACACTGATAGAGTGCTCTACTGTCAGAGAGACAGGAAGAGAGGAAGATATTTGCTGGTCTGAAGACGAAATACCTCAATTTCAGATTTTACCTGGATAACAGCTGTACAATTCCTGTTATTGCTCTGGCTAATCTGTTAATCTGAGCAGGTCTTTAAGAACATAGGCTGAGTTCCTATTTTTTCTTCTCACAGAAAATTTCTCCAATGCCCTGAAACCACTTAGGTTCTGAAAGTTCACCAAAAAAGCTGAACTTTGGAAGGCAGAATAAGTGAGACAGAACTGTAGCAGCAAGCAAGGAAGAGGAAATGTATTTCATGGTACAAGACAAGGAAATTGTAGGAACAAACAGTCCATAAAATGTCTTGTATTAAATGGTAGAATGGATGGATGGAAAAAAAGTCAATAAAATGCTTGAAGCAGAAGAGATGCCTGTACAATTCAATAAAAGCTTTTATGCTAGCAATTGATTTAGAAGTCCAAGGCAGAAACACAGGCACAAAGTATTGGCTTCTAAGTGAAGCACTTACTTTAATGGTAAGAAAGGTCTAGGAGAAAATTCTGGTCCTGTCCAGCCCATGCAAACCTCAGCCTTTGTCTCATATGACAGCGTCAATAGCTGTGTATCCCTCCTTGAATCCCTTCTCATCATCAAGAGTCGAAGGCCAGCAGAATGGCAGAAAATCAAACGTATAAAAGTATACTTCATGGCTTTGTATTCATACATTAATGGCTGGTTCACAAGAGTTCATTACATGGCTACTGCAAAGAACAGAATGAAGTAGTAAAAAATCGTGTTTTGAGCCATCTGCAATGCAGGTGGAATTCTGGTGTTATTTTTCAGTTTGTCACCTAAGTGAGGTGCAGTGACTTGAATACTCTTGGGTGTATTCATGCTGCCTGAGAGGAAGATCTCCCAATGTTCAAAGCACCTTTTTTTTCTAATAAAACAAATTATGTGAGAGTTGAACTTGATTGTAATTAGGCCTCAATTAGGATTTTGATACTCATTTAGTACTAATGCATTCCACCTAGAAGTCTGGAAATAGTAGTTTAATGGGTAGGCATACAGAGACACAATTTCTGTTTTTCTGTTACTTTCAAGTCATTCCAGGGACTATAAAGCTACTTGTGTATGAAGTCAGTTAATTTACTTCTGCTTAACTCAGATACAGAGTTGAGTGGCAAGGGCAGTTTCTATATAGGAGAGCTGATGAGGAGGGAAAAACACACAGTCTCTAAAGCCTGGGCAATTGTAAGTCTCACAGCATACATTTTTAAAGGATAAATGAAAGATAAGATGAAGATTTGTTTGAGAAAGGACTAAGCTCTGTGATCTGCAGTCCTGCAGGAAAAAAGTCCAATCAAAGCAAAAAGCTTGAAGTCTTTTCCACCCTTACCCTGTGGGAGCATAAAAGCATAAGTATTCAGATGCAAAATGAATTCTATTGCAACAAGTGCAATAGAAAAGCACTAGGTTACAGGTGCAAAAGGAATGGTACTTTAAGAAGTACAAAGGAAAGTTACTACTAAACCTTCCTCTAGTCCAGGTGAAATTTAGAATTCAATATAAAGTAACACTTCCTGTGAAAGTACTATGGGAAATACAATATGCTGCTTTTCTTGGCTGACAGAGCAGAAAAGAAACTTAGAGGACTTATTCTTGTTTTTTCTTAAAGGCTAAATTTGGAGAAGAAAGGGATAAATGTTGAATATACTGCCTGAGATAGCTTGTGAATACAGCTCAATATATAGAACAATATGCCTTTTTTTACTTATCGCACACAAAAAGTTTAATATTTGCTCTCTTATTTCCTTAAGAGGGGTAAGCTTTAAAAGTTTCTGAATGAAATCATGTATTGGGTGTCTGTATCCTGTGGTCGCCAGCTCTAAGCCGTTGCTCATGTCGGGGGCTGACTGCATTGTCCTGATGCAGTCGGATTATAGCACCAGGTGGGAGGATCAGTTTTCACTGGGGGAAAGAAGAATGAACTACTCTAATGCACCAACACAGTGGAGGGCTGAGCCTAAGGAACAGGTACCTTCCTTTGAAGCTTTTTTCTTTCAGGGATTAAACTCCCTGCTTAAATGTTTGTGCCTTACTTCTAAAGAAAGCCACTAGCTTTAAACAGTTTTCTAATTCTTCTTTCCCCACTCTGCAACCAAGACACTCCATTTCCAGCACACTATTTTAGAGAGGAAAATTGAACAAAAAGGTGTATTTTATAATTTTCTAACCAGCATAATGAATCTCTGTAATAAAACCAAACGTGTTCTGGAACGTTTTGTAATGCTTATGTAGCTGTTATCTGATGGTTTCTCCTAAGTTCATTGTGACAGTTGACATCAACAATGACTACTAAGCATACAACTGGTGGAAAATAAAATAATAGTTAAAAAAAAAAAAACCACATGATTTTGGCAGTCAGCACACTCAAAACTCCCAGAACCACTGTAATTGCTGTTAGATCATCCTTCTTCAAAAGCAAGCATGCACAGAAGGATGTTAGTCCTGTCATTTGTCCTCAAAGGTGACAGGCTCCAAAGTCACTCAAATGAGGACTTAAGAGCTGTTCAATCAATTTAATCATCTGACTTAGAAGCTGGGATCAGATAATAATACTTAATGAGCACATTAATTAAACTGCAGGTGCTCGACAAGTTTTCACATCACCGCTGTGGGTTGTGCCTTGCTGTTGTTCTCTTACACTGTCTGGAATACTTATTTTTAAACATTACATGTTCTCTGAATGCAATCGAATAAATCGGTGCTGTTGCCCTCTTGCATTTAGTTAAGGATGTACAGTCTCCTCCACTTAAAACCAGAAGAGCCTCCAAGGTACATAACTTCACTGCAACAGATCCATGGGGTTTAAAAAACTCCTGGAAATTTGCTGATTAATCACCAAATAGAAATCAGGCCTTAATGGTTATCTGTCACCATGAAATATTCCGAATGGTCAGCAAGGGATTATGCCTTCCTCTGAAATGACTACCACTAAATTGGTAGTTTTAAAGCACAGTGTAGATTCAATCTGATTGAGACATCAGTAGTTGCAAAAAGTAAATTAAAGGTCAAGTCTCTTGTGAGAAAGCCAATTTCAGTCCTCCAAAGAATCTGTCATCTAATGAAAAGACAGAGGTAATTTTTTTCCCCTTTTACTGGGGAGCTGCATGCCAATAATGTGCCTATGCGTGGACTTCAGTAGCACTTGAAGTCATCAGTAATTAGAGGTGCAGATGCATCTACCATACTATAGCATACAGGAATATTCAGCAAGAAAAACATACCTATAAAAGCACATTGTTCCCCCCACCCATTCTTTTTGCTAACAGACTAACTAGGAAAAGGTAAGATAATTTAATGATGTATAATGAGGTAATACTACCCTAACAGGACTCGAACACAGTAGACTCCCACTAGTGACCATCAGTATAGGCATTAATTTGATGTATGTCTGCCAAAACATTCAGCTGCTGCTGCTCTGCCTATTATGCAGAATGGGAAAGCTTATGATGCAGAAGTCACATTTACACTTTACATAGGCACTACGAGCACAACTGTGGCAATGCACAGGGGAAGTTGGGCATCTGAGCTGTTAAGAATCACAACAGCTACTGCAGGAAAAAATGCTAAGGCCAAATCTTATTTAGATAGCTTGTCTGTGTACTGTTGATCAATACTCCCTATTTTCAGCTTTAAGCTGATGTGTGGTGTTCTTGAACATTAGTCTGCTGCTTTGCTTCAGTCAGTGATCACTGAAGTAAACTCCGAGAACACTGCAGTGACAGGAATCAAGTATCTGGTTATCTGTTAGACTGAATAGAGAACTGCTGCACAACTTCAGAGGTTCTGTCAGACTTTTGTTTCCATCTGATACAGATCAGCTACTTTGTCTGGAGATTAGAAACTGATGGTGCTTTTCATGAGCAGAAACTATCATTCTCCCAAGCTGTGAAAGACAATTTGCAACACTCCGAAGTAAGAATTTACTGTGAATATTTAATGCATGGCATAAACAATCTAATCTGTCCTTACCTGCCTGAAAAAAGGAAAAAAGATGCAGCTGATGAGGTCGTGAGCATGCCAAGAAAATAGTAGGCCTTTACTGAAAAAACATGCAGGTGATGCAGGCTGCTGCACACAGCAGAACAGCCAGCAGTGCTACAGCACAGCTCATGGGGTGGCTGGAGCCAGCTGGCTGATGGGACTGGGGGCACTGAGCAGGAAGGCAGCCCTGGTGTGTGGACATGGGACTGGTGCTTTGAAGTGTTGCATAGAAGGAGGCGAGATCCTAGGTTGAGGCTAAGGGAGAAGAGGATGGAGGCACACCACAGAATTAGCTGCCCCCCCCCCCAAACTTGTAACAATTATTGTAGCAAAACTATTTAGGATCATAATTTAACGATATTTGTTGTAAATACAGTGAGTGACAAGATTAACAGCACTGTATTATTTCAATTTCACTGACAAAGACTTGTTCTTTTATAGGTCCCTTCCTAAATCAAAACCAAAGAAATCTAAGCTTTCAAAATGTGTTGATTCAAAGCTTCTCAAAGATTTTCCATGTCTGTAAATTAATTTTATTCTATTTCTCTTCAAAGCCATTTTCATGAATTAACAACAAACACTTAAGGTATCTTAAATTTATTAGACATTTTATTGCAACTTTTATAGTAGGACAAATATGTATTCAGAAAAACTGGACCAGTGTAACAGTTAATTTCGTCGTATTTCTATTTTTAATATATTCAAAATTCCTATAAATTCAGGTATTTTCACAATGGAGTTTTATAAAAGTGTATCTGCTGGAAACCATTGTGTACTTTTCCAAAACATATCTTATACTGCAAGAGATCTTCCCTGGCTTTCTACCACTGTTTTTAACAGACTGCTTCATGGTAGGAAACTTCCTATCTAGAACTATTTTGCATTTGATTAAACCTCTGTAAACTTCAAGTAACTTTTCCTGGACAACTCTGTGTAGGATTTCTGGCCTGCCTAAATTATTCTGGTGACAGCAACATAACAGCCTCTTCAAATTCTATGTAAATTGTGGGTTTATTATATAAAGTGGCAAGATATATTATATTGAAGGTCATGTTTCAAAGTAATTTATTTCATCCATTTTTGGTTTAAGTGCGCCCTTGCATTGAAGTCAGCTGTGTCACTAATTAAGACATTCAGTACCAGTGCATATACAGGTAACAGTCTTCAGATTTTCACTGATTGTGCAATATTACGTACACAAACTTGACAGACACTTTTATTATGCATGTTACGATAAAGAATTAACAGGTTATTACACAGAACTAACAGGTTATTAAACCCCATATTAAGGCGATATCAGTCATAGAATTTTAGCATAACAACACATTTACTCCACAGTGGGGGTTTGAATATGAAAATGCTAGTTGCTCTTACAGTAGTTTCTGCAAAAAGACACACAACCCAGGTCCTGATAAACATTCTTGCCTGTAAGTTTTATCATTAGAAGAGTTTAATACAATAGGCAACAATTATTTTCAATGTCCCTTAAAACTTGTACCAAAAAATATACATTTTCCATAAAATCAAAAATAAAATATCTTAAAATGTTCTGTGATAAACCTAGAGAAAAGAGGAGGAATCCAGTCTTAAAATTCTGCTCTCACATAAATAATCTGAGACCAGTGCAACGTATTTGTATAGCTGATAGAAGAATTTGTCTCAGTCCGGTTAAAATGCAGATGTTATGAAAAGTACGCAAACTCTTATTTCAGGAGTTTAACTTTGTCCTTTAAAACTTTAAACTTGGGATTGTTACTCACTTTCTTATTAAACATGACTAGAATATCCTCTTGTGATTTGTGATGTTCACCAGCTGTGGCATAATACTGAGCTATAACCTGCATAAAGACAGAGGAATGGTTCCGAGTTAGTAAACATGATTCCACTTTCAGCAATAATACATTCACGTTACTCTACTGAAAGCATCAGAGAATCTATTGTTATTATTCCTTTGCAGAATTAGTGCTGAATTTCTCCTGTAGTCCAGTAAGCAATAAGGAACATGCCCCTCAGTTGATATTCTGCCAACTGTTAGATAACATCAAACTGTTTTTGCTTATACGGGGCAGGAGGTTATGAACTTAAAACATTATGGAAAGAAATTCAGAAGACCAAAGGAGATTAAAAAAGCCATGCTGCACAGTACCTTTTTTCTTAGTTTCTTAATTGAAATTTCATTGTCTGGAGCCTGTTTCAGGACAGCTTTGATGGTTCCCTTCCAGTTGAATTTACCTACAAAATGAGTAGGTGTACAACATCGTTAATAAAATTAGGTATTTATAAGTCTTCTCTCATATGAACCAGCCCTCAATCACCTGATTTTGGAATGAGTTCATCTACCACAACAGCTGGTATCTTACTGACCCTACAGCAGCAGGGTACCTAAGCATAAAGTCATGTGGGCTGTTTCTGAAGATTCTAATAGGACCAACACACTACTTCAAAGGCTGGGGTCAGGGCTATTATTACTTCTGTGCTTTAGATATTAAGCAGCAATTTTTACATAACACAGGGATGGCTGGGAAGATCCCATCTCTCTGCCCTTAGGGCACAGGAAGTCAATCCCACATAGTACCCACTTGAGAGGTCATGTTTACAAATAAACGATCTGTATGTTCAAGTACAGACAATTCCCCAACAATAAGTGTCTGTTGAAGGATGGGCATAAGTAGGCTTGTCCAAGTATCAACTAAGGTCCAACACGGCTAAAGTCCAATTTATGATTCACTGAGCAAAAACAGATGATGTAAGAGCTACAAAGAGCTACAAGTGAGCTGTTACCCTTTTTCATGTTGGCTAATGTGCTCTTGCAGAATAGCTTTGTAACTATCGAAACTCCCCCTTTAAGAATATGTTACCTCTTCCAAAATTCTCTTCATTGCCATTGTTGTTTTCTGTTTCCATGTCTTCTGAAATGTATTCAGTTTTCATTTTCTTCCTTGTAATAGGAGGTTGCTCTAGAGACAGAATTGGATAAACATACACAAAAATGTACAGAAGTAGAAACAAAGTTCTGATGTGACTTGAAGGTTCTGTTCTTGCAACAGGAGTTTATATTTGCTAAGATGTTCAGACTTTATAAAGGACTGTGCAACCACAGTGTTAAAAAATAATCTAATGTGTGTATGTAACTTACTATTTAAAAAATTCTACTTAGATAAATTACTGAGCTTTAGGGCACAGAGAAAAAGCATCTTGAAAACAAGCAAGAATATAAAGTGCAGGATGGATACCTTCTGCATGTTTATGTTTGCGTTTCTTTACATTTGTTTCCTTTTCTACTTCACTCTGATGGCCATTTCCATTTATTTCAAATTCATTCTCCAAGCTCTCCTTTTCTTTTTTGGACTTTTTACTCTTTTTTACTTCTGTCTGGTTTTCTAATTTCAAGTCCTTTTTCTCCTTCTTTTTGTTCTTTTGTCTCTCTTCTTTTCGTTCTCTCTTATTCTTTTTCCTCTCAGTTTTATCATCTGTAATTCCATTTTCTTGTTTCCCAGTTTCTGCAGAATGCACCTCTTCCTTCTGCTGTGGTTTGGCTTGTTCTTTTTCACTTGAAATCTTTTGTTGAAAGACAGATTATTACAATTTTTACATGCCTTTTTGACATTGCAACTTTACTACATAAAGAATATTTTCTCCATGAATAACACTAATATTCTGCAGTCAAACTGTTTGCAAGCGGTAACAACAGTTACGTGAGAAACAACACTAAATGGGGTGGCTGATTTTTCTTTTCACTCTAAATGCTAATTACTTTAGCATCACAGAAGAAATATTAACTTACAACATATATAATTTCTATTTAAAATAATTGTCTATGTATTTGGGACTTTTTAATGCAGACAAAACCATGGTCTATTACAGCAATATATAGAACCTATTCCCAAATACATGGCGCTTGAGTAATAATCTTAGCTTTGCCATCCAGTTCCCTGACTTGGGTTTTGGCTGGGACAATGAACTATTTGCTGCAAGATGTCAGCAAAGGCACTGCTGGTTGTTTTAATTGTACTTTTCTCACCTTAATATATTTGGGTTTCTTTTAATATTCCTGGGCTTATACTAGTTTTCTTGTAGAATTAATATGTCCAAGCTTTTTAATCACAACCTACTTAGTACACACAACTACTTCAGCAACAGTATGTTCCACAAATTAGCAAGGAAATTAGTCTAGGAATATAACATTATAACAGAATCCATTGTAACAATAGGAAACGGTATTTATGCTAACATCTACAAAAGGAGGCTGAAAGGTTTTCCTTCCAGCATTTTTGACTGCATTCCTGTTGTACCTCTAACTTACGTTTCTGGTTGCTTCAGAGAAAATATCCCACACCTGGTCTTGCAAAGTGATGTCAGTAATTCTCAAACTGTTCTTCATCCAATTCTGTGCCAGAAAAAAACCCAACAGTAACCAAAAAGGCGCATCTCTGATACATTTACTTTATGAATCTCTTAAGTCTCATAATGCCTGTGTACTGTTACAAGGATATACCAATATAAGAACCTCTCAATTGCCTCATTAATAGTAATCCAGAAGAGCTAAATATATAGAAAAGATAATCTTCAAGCTTTTGAATATAGCTAGTTGTGTTAATGTCCTGACAAACCTTCTGACTCTTTCCATGAGGTAAAGCATCAGGATCTGATCTTACTTATTTGTGTACTGGACAGATGGCCATGCTTCTAAATGGATACCTTAGTTTATTACAGAGAAGTAAAACTTAAGCAAATATCTCAGTGCAAGCATTTGAAAGTTTTTAGGGCTATTGCAGGATTTCCTGCTGAAAATAAAAGCAAAGCAGTAAATCTCTACAATGAACTGCGAAAACTTTTAATCTTCCGCTGCATATTTTACCAAAAAGAAAGAGGCTTCTTGACAGTATCACTTTCCCTACTTAGAATACTGATTTTGTAGAAAAGCATTCTAAACTTCAGCTTGCTAGCATCAATTTCACTGCAGCTCTACTAAGTTCTATCTGAGTGCTTTGGAAGCAATCATGATCATTTCTCAGCCTCACAATCTGCGGCACAGAACAGAGAGGAAAATAAATAAATAAATAAATTAATAAATATGGCCAGCTTGTCAGTAGTTCTTTACTGATACCACATGAAACATTTGGAACTTGCTTTGGCTGTGGTGCAAAGTTTAGTGCAGTATGCAGTGGGGTGGATTCTGTTAGAATCTGAGCCACAGGAAAACTCTCAGTATCTTGCCTTTACCAGGAAAAAACCCGAAAGCATAGAAATAAGAATCCTTTAGGAGTATGTCTAAGGACTTGGACACTCATTAAAAATTGCAAATATATAAAAAAGGAAATTACAAATATATTAAAAAAAAGGTATCAAAAAAAGGGAACAAGCCTATGTATGGAGATTAAGCTTGAATGGCAACTCTCTGGCTTGCTACCAAATTAAAATGACACAGATTCTTTTTGAGCAAGGAGATGTATTTTACAAACACTGCCATATTTGAAACTCCACTATTACACCACCTATTTATTAATGCCCAAACAAGCAATTTGTCCCACCTTTATTAAAAGAGAGTGGCTCTCACTACAACAAATCTCTGTTAAAACATACCTGAAACTTTACTTTTTTTCTTGGAATGTTATCAAAGGCACGCATTTGCTCCAGAATGTTCCGCACTTTAGGGCTGACATTTGGCTTCTTTATTACTTCATGGATTTTCTGAATGAATAAAACCAGAACTAAATCAGCAAAGAAGCACAAGATCAAGTTATACGTGCAAGGTATGTGTCCTGGTTTCAGCTGTATCAGTTAATTTTCTTCCTAGTAGCTGGTGCAGTGCTGTGTTTTGGTTTTAGTCTGAGAATAATGCTGATAACACACCAGTGTTTTAGCTGTTGTTAAGTAATGCCTACCCTGATCAAGAACTTTTCAGTCTCTCATACTCTGCCAGTGAGGAGGGGCACAAGAAGACAGGAAGGAGTAGAGACAGGACACCTGACCCAAACTAGCCAAAGGGGTATTCTATACCACAGCACATCTCAGCAAAGGAGAACAGAGGAGGTCAGGCCAGGACCTTGTGCAGTTACTTGAACAGCACTGCTGCTTGTAAGGGAAAAAGGCCCTGCTTCCCATTATTTAAAGATACTGGACACTGGAAAGCCTGCCTGTACTTCTGAAAAATCTGTTTTCTAAAACGTTTTGTGGATGTCTTAAGACTACCAGAAAAGGACGCTCTGTAATTATCCCCCCCTTTCTGCGCAGAAGAGACTTACTATTGAGGAAGGCTAACAATTTTCATAAGCAGCAGCATTCATATCATACTGCCTCTGAACAGTGTATTTAAACAACGTTCCATCTCAACAATGGCACTGATCTGTTGACTTCAATGGTATTATTCATATGCCTTATCAAACTAGTGAGAGATAGATTCAAAATAAACAAAAGGTGCATTTCTTACCAGGATAAGCAACAGACCTACTAAGGAGATGCCAAAGAAAGCTGTGGATACTAGGAAAACAGATCTTCGGTTTGATCAAATATAGCCTCTGCTGCATCTTTAACAATTATAAACAACAGCTATTTATCATATCTATATATAGTACAAACCTTACCTGAATCCACTCTTGTTGTTTAGCATCTCCTTTGTTAGTTTTGGCTTCAAAATCTTTTCCACCATATTTCTGGTCTTCACTTACACACTTCACATGTTCTTTGTAATCGTCACCCCTGAACAAAGGAGATTTTTAACTGTAATTCACTGGAGTCCTTTGAACCACACAAGACATAAAACCAACAAATGGAAGTAAAAGATGATAGCACCTATTATTTAAATCCTAATACTGTCAATACTTATATGAGTAAAGTATATGCTTGTAAGACTGCTGACATTTCTGCCATGCTACAGCCTTCAGGGAAAATTTCTGACTTGCAAAACCAGAGGACTCTTTACTATAGTGCTGCTTTTCTTAATGACTCTAGCTTTGGCACGTTTGTATATGTAATACATACATGGCTATTAATACATTTATCTGTGTTTTACTACTCATATTGACACAGTTTAACAACAGAAAAGCAGGTGAAACTGTTTGCAAAAACCTAATTCCTAAATATAGATATACTAATGTGGTATTGTAGATCTGACCAATGTGTAAATGTCCCCCAAAGCAATGAATAACATAGAACTTCATCTTTCTCAGTAAAGTACTGAAAAATATAATAATTACTTGAGGACATTATTTTGTTATGCAAATTCATATATTTATATTTAGAAAGCAGACAGTGGCACTGCTTTCTTCTGAGTTCTGAGAAGTGCCAACCCAATTCAGAATTCTCAGAGTTACTGCCAATCTCACTCTCTCTGCAATAACTGAATAGTAGCAGTTGTGGATGATCACAAGCTGAAACCACTGCCACTTGAAACTGTAAAACACTGCACCTCTGTTTACTGCGTGGTTTAGTTCTGGTGGTTCAAACTTGGGTGACTAAGCTTGAAGTTATACAATTTATAAATAAATTTATAAATAATTTTTAAATACAAATACACATTATTCAGAAATTGCCTGATTTTAATATGCCATAGGAAAGTCTTATATTGGTGACAAGCACTGCTGAGTGAGCAAGGCTACATACAATCCTCTACCTACCAGAAATCCTTGCCACAATCCATGCACGAAAGGCACTGACAGTTCCTGCAGATGTTCACATGTTTTTCAACCTGTGCTTTCTTCACAGACTCTCCACACGCATCGCATGTGAAAACCACCATGCTGGCGAGTGGTCAGCAGCTTCTACGAACTGGGTACAATCTGTTTCCTTCCACACAAGCAAAGCCCTAGAAATACAAGGAGATCTTAAGTTTACAGCTTGAAAGATGCACTTGACCCACTGAGAATGAATGCAGCTGTACATCCTCCAGCAGAAAACCTAAGCAGTTTGATTTTGCATGTGTACAAAGAAGTGCAGAAGAACCTAATTTCGCCTGGTACCTGTGCACAAGAGAAACCAGTAACCCTGAAACCACTACCCCCCTTCTACCCCCTACCCCATGCCGGTACGTTTCCCAATTTCACGGTTCCCTCCGCTTCCCGGTGCGATCACCCCGCCCTTCCGTCCCGCTCCTCGCAGCCCACCCGTCTCCACCGGGTGTGGGCGAACGACACCGCTACGTGGGAGCCGCCTGATGCGGGCCCAGCCACATGGGGCGGGAAGGACGGATGGAAAGAAGGAAGGCTCCTCAGCGGCAGGAGGCCACAGCCGTACCCTCACCTCGCTCCCGCTCCCCCCACACCTCAACCCCCACCTACCAACGGTCCCCCAAAACTGCACGTGTAGTCACCGCCCTCCGTTCCGTCCCGCCCCGGCCCCACCGCTTTGCGCCTGCGTGACCCGCACCCCGCGGCGGAAGCGGAAGGAGCGGCAGCGGAAGCGGCGGGAGGTGTGGCTGAAGTTGCCGCCGGGCGGCTGAGCGGGGATGGAGCTGGGAGACGGCCGAGGCCGGTAAGCGCTGGGCTGAGCAGGGCCGGCTCTTTTCCCTCCGCGCCTCTGCCGGGCTGCGCCGCGTTACCCCTGCCGCGGGATGTGTCCGTGTCGTCCCGCCGCGGTTGGTAGCGCTCGGCCCGCCCTCAGCCCTGTCCGCCTTGGACCCCGTTACCCATCCCGCCTGCGGTGTCCCTTGCTTGGCCGCGGTGCCGGCTTGTCGCCTGATCCTGGGCAGAGCCCGCCCTTCCCTCGGTGCTCGGTCTTGTCCTCTGAAGCAGACGCTCCCGCTGTGCCCTGCTCCATGCCGGGCCTTGATCCAGGCACGGCAGCTTCAGCGTAAATAGCGGGTATGTTGCTGGGGCTCCGCTTGCTCGGAAGCGGCTCACGGCGGCCGCCTTCTCTGCTGGGAGAGTCTGAATTCAGGGGTTATTGAAGTGCTGCAAGATGCTGTGAAAGCTGTTATCCGGGAAACAGACGTGGTTTCTTTATTTTAAAGCGTGGTAATGCTTTATATATAAAAATGAAGATAGGACAAGAACAGTAAGGACTAGAGTGTAATAGCCCACTTTAAAGCGGGTGGAGGAAGCGAATCACGGAATAACACAGTAAATGTGGAGCCCTTAGCAATTCTGAGAATTGGAAACGGGGGCGACCACTTTCTTGTCGTGTTTAACTCAACGTGCTTTTTCTGCTTCATTCATTAGTTAAAAGACTGTTATCAGTTCTAATTGTTCTAATAGTTGGAATGTGCCTTTCATATTTATAAGTGTGCAGGGGAAGAGTTTAAGCTTTTCCTTTTTTAAAAAAAGGATTGAATGGAAACGTGTTTTGTGGGAATGTTGTCTTCCCTTCAGCCTGTTCAAAGAAATGACTTTTAAAAGAGACTTTACATTGTATTAAAAATAACAAGTTGCCATGCTGACTTGTCTAATGAATGAGATTCATGTGAGAAATGTGCTTCCCTACAACAACAACAAATTGGGAATAAATAATGCTACTACAGTGCTCTTCCTTTTAGTTTAGAGGATGCAGATGCAGGTTTTCTTCTACAAATGCTTTTGGTTTTGTAGGTATGATACTGTTTTGCCTTAGAATCTAATTTTTGTCAGAAGTTGTCTAAATTGGGGGTTTTTACTGTTACGGAGTTCAGTTTATTGGCAGTCCCTTTGGCATGTTTTGGCAAAAGGTGTTTGTTGCAATAAAATCTTAATTAAAATCAGTATTTCCTACCTGTACGTCTGCATATCTACTTGTGGCTCATCTTTAATCAGAAAAATGCCATTGGACCTCAATGCGGGTGTAAACTGAAGTCTGTTTCGTTAGGGACCTAATCAAATTGTAAAAATGTTCTTGATTTTCTAAGTTAATTTTTGCAATTTAATATTTAAGATTCATCTTAGCATTTTATTTCATTGTAGGTAAATTAAGTGATTTTCTAGCATGGACACTGTTGCTAGCCATAGTTGTCATCTTCTCCAGCAGCTACATGAACAGCGCATTCAGGGTCTTCTCTGTGACTGCATGCTGGTGGTGAAAGGTGTCTGCTTCAAAGCACACAAAAATGTGTTAGCTGCTTTCAGTCAATATTTCAGGTATGTGATAGAAAATGCTTTGTTTCAAAAAGTGAACTTAAATGCTGTTGGTTGAGGTTTTCTCTGAGAAGGGTATTTTTTTGTGGTAGTTGCAGACTAAGTAACTGTTGAAGTATAAGGGAAAAGGTTATTTTATTTTATTTTTTTTGTCCAGAGATAAATCTGTATGAAATCTAATTAAAAGCTTTGGCTATCGTAATTTATTTTCTAGGTATACATAGCTTAACTGCTGCACTGGTTTAGTTTGGCCTTTTCCTGATCCTTACTTATGGTGCCTCATATAATGGACTCTGGTATTTGATATTTCGGTATGAAAAAAATAACTGTTTACAAGGAGCATAGTAGAGTACATGAACAGAGCCAGATAAGGGATATAATTGATGAAACAATTCACGTTCTCTGTTTATAGATAATGTGAATTGTTTCATCAAGTTTGACTATACAGGTTATTATTGAATTTCTGTTTAGAACAGATTCTCAGAGACAACGTTTGTGTTTTAAAGGTGGGCCATGAAGCCATATCACTGATTTCTTTCCCCTCTGCATAGCCCTCATTGATCCTCCAAATTATGAGGAATGCTGCATCTCCAAAGTTAGTGTTTTATGTTAGCTGTGAGTAACCTATTAGATCTGGCAGGTTTTAGACATTGTTTCTTGAAACATCTCTAAAGCTTGACTACCAGTTCTTACATAAGAAAATTATTTCTATGTTACGAGCAGAGACAAAAGGTTGTTTTTCCTTTTTCTATTCTAGTGTTGTAATCCTGATGATGTGAAATTATGCTTAAAGACTGAATTTTGAAAGTAGTTAAAAAGAACTAAACCCACAATTATTATGAAAATTCAATATGATATAAGTGACTAATTAATTTAAACTCTCTACCCAGATCATGATTGCAGTTCATCATAGCTCTGGTTTTAATTTAGCTAATGTGGGCTGGATTTATGAAGGAATTCGAATGTGGGCATTGGCTTCAGAGTAACCTCAGCATTTCTAAAGTTTAAGCCTAGTTGAAACCTCTTATTTTCTTAAGATTCAAAGCTCATTGATACTATGCTCACCTTTAAATAAAACTTAATGTGAGAGTAATAATCAGTTTCAGGGCATTTCTAGTGTAGGAAAATAACTACATAAGAGTGACCTGACCCCATATATTTATAGATATCATTATTTACTGTGAGAGTGTCAGGCTGGAAACTGAGGGTTTTAATGGAAGGGTGTGAAGTTCCTGAGGCAGAGTACGAACCCGCTTAATGTAGGACTGGTTGTGCATGTGAAGAACTACGGCTGTTATGCTAAGAATACTCTACATCAAACAGTGAAAGGTCTTGTGAATTCAGACACTAGATTCAATGACAATTCTGTGGCTATTGGTTGGATGGCTGTTACAGGCTAATGTACCTGTACTCTTTATTATTCATTTACTTGGTTCTCATTCAGTACCAGTAAAAAAGTGTATTCTTCGCATGAGAGAGAACAGACTGAAAATAATGACATTCTCTTACTTACTATTCTCTCATCTTCTTGTGGAGAAAGAATAATTTAACAAGATTTACTGATAAAGTTTGATGGACAAGCTCAGTTACCAGAAGAGAATAATTAAGCTAAATCTGTGGTCTGTCTTCTGCTTTTTACTAGAAAGTTTTTCATGTCCCTTTTCATTTGCCGTGATGGAAGGAGAAACACCATTCTGAGTCAACCAACTTTTGCAGATAGTTCATAAATACACCCCTGCACCTAGCACGTAAAGAATATTGGATAGGAAGCCACTTGTATAGGGTCTGATTTCAATACACTAAAAAAATGGAAAAAGAAAGTTACATAAAGGATAACTTGGTTTGATACATACTAGTGTACTTGTGTAGGACTAATATATAAGTCATTGAACAGTTTTGGGATGTTCATCTGCAAAAACACAACAATGTAGATAAGACCGTATAAATTGTTGTTTCATGCCAGGCAGTCTGAGGTATATGTGTGTTTTTTATAAAAAGTGTTTGTGAATTATTTGTGTTTGTGATTGAATATTTGCATTATTTTATCAGGACCCTTTTCCAGAATTCTTCAGGCCAGAAGAATGATGTCTTTCACTTGGACATTAAAAATGTAGGTGGCATTGGCCAGATCTTGGACTTCATGTACACCTCTCACCTGGACCTTAGCCAGGACAATGTACAAGCTATGTTGGATATTGCACAGGTTCTCCAAGTCCAGAATGTGCTGAACATTTGCCACGCCTTTTTAAAATCATCTACAGCTGTAGAGCAGACAGCCAGCATGCCTTGTAATAGTGTGTTTTCACTGCAGAATACTTTGACTGCCGATACTAGCTGTGCCAGTGACAGTTACGGAACAAATCTATTGCATGAATGCTCATCTGACACACAAGCTAATAAAGTCTTGACTGACCACCGTTCACAAGCATCACAGTCTGTTAATCTTCACACACCCTCAGGTGATGGACAGAAACAACCACAAGACTCGTTAGATGGCAACTGCACAGGGCTTCCATTTAAACATCCAAATTACTATTATAAACTACGCAACTTTTACAGTAAACAGTTCTATAAGCAAAATGCTTCCTCTAATCATGAGAGAGGAGCAGAACAACCCTTTTCTTACAACCCATCTACAGAAATAAACACAGTAGAGAATAGTTCTTGTACTGTCAACTCCTCTGAGTGTATTCTGGAGACCTCAGATCATTTACCATCAAACTTTTTGGCTCAGTCCTTGAATGAAGCTGTTCCAGAGCAAGATGCAGAAA